AAATGTATGTTTCTCTTCTTTTTTATCTTCAGTTGTATTTTGTTCTTCTGAGTATTATTTATTAATTTTCTCATTCGTCTGGATGGATCGTATATTCGATCATCTATTTTTCGTTGACTAATACCATTTCTTTCGTAAACTCAGTTAAGAATTAAGATAGTTAATGCGTCGACAATCCAAACGAGTGATTGAATACGTGCTAGTCTTTAAATTATTAGTCGTTTTATTGAAATCTTTTACTCTTGCATAGAGGCAACATATATATTTGTGAAGCGATTAAACCTGACTGGTAATGTCAGTGTTTTTCTTTTTCTTTTTCTTTTTATAGCTTAGAGCAAAATAAAATTGTCATTTTCTAGTTTTTCTGATCATGTCAGTAGAAGTGAGTAAGAAGTATATACTATAGTTAAATATCATTCATAAGTTTCGGACCCATTTTAATGTTTCTTGTTTGTTTTGTTCGAAAACATAAAGTTGAACAGACATAGAAGATATACATTTCGGCATGACCACGCGTTATGGAATTTCATTTTTTCACATTGTAAGACTTATATCTCATCAATGATCAAAGCAAATCCCCTGAAATTTTTATCATATATAGAGACTATTCAGATCTATGACCAATAAAAATTTTATCGGTTTATACAAAAGCAAGACTGAGCCATTAAAAAAATTCTGACCATTTGGGAATTTCAAAAAATGGAATTTCTTTTTAGGGTGAATGGAGAGTTAAGCATTTTACTGTGCAATGAAGTGACATACAACTAAACGTTCTGTATACAAATTGTTCATTTTTCCACAAGCTTTCAGAATATCAGTTGATTTCTAAACAGAGTATATTTAAATCAAACAAAAACCTGTAAACACTGTCCGTTACGGAATTTCGTCTTTTTTTCGATTTTCTAACAGGGAAAGTGTGAGACTTTGAAATTTCCTATTATCACGATAAAAACTCATCTTTCCCTCAATCCAAGAGCAGTACACAGACAGTTCTACTCTCCGAGTATGTCAGTTTCATTTTCGCAACGAAACGACATTAAAAATTCTGTCTATTTTTCAGGCAAAAAATGAAATGTAACAGAATTCACCACTGAGTGTTTTTGGTAAGATTAGTTTAAAAATTTCTTTTTAGACGGTTGTCGGATAAAAATAAACTTTCTATCGCAGGTCAACAAAGTATCTTGGAGCTTGCAACATGTTTCATAAACTGTCGGTAGTGCACTTTTGATTTTAGAGTTTTTTTTTATTTTTATGAGTTTAAACCCTCCCCATGCGAGGGTGACCGATGCGTGGCCATACCAATTTATAAGTACCATCTAAGTCACTATTTAAATCTGAGATACTTATTAAGATGTTACGTTATTAGGAAAAACGTTCAAATAATTTTATCAAATTTGTTGCTCATTCTTTTTCATTATTTTCTGGAACTCACGTATATTTTCGAAGAAAATAGAGTGTAAGTTTTATGTTTCAGGTTTCGAAGCTTTCTCCCCCCTGACAGACAGGCCCCCCATTACAGACCATAGCAACGAAAGAGAACATTACATACATACCCCTCCACCTCACCCCCACCCATTACAGACCGTATCAGTGGAGAAGAACATTACAGATGTCAACAACCGTGCATAAAACGCTGCAGATTTATTTAACAAGGAAGCGAGTTAAACCGTATAAATAATATGAGTTCGACTGCTACATAATATTTCAATATTTTCATAGTTATTTGAAAAAACTATTATTTATTTGTTAAAGTTCGTAATAGTGTAGTCGTGGACCTTTTTTATAATTTGAACTTGCATGTTAAAAATCAAGGATGTAGAGTAATAATATATATTGATCTGTCATAGCAATCATATCATTAATATGAGAAGTATGATTGGATCTTTTTATCAGTGTGAAAAATAAACAATATCACCATTATGGATTAATTGAGATATAAGGTAGTGTGGTAAGAGTTGCTAATGCATATAAACTGCATTATTGTAATAGTCCTATTCATCAAATAGTCGATGGTGGAAAAAAGATAATTTCAAATTAAAGAACAAAAAAACATGATTATTATCAAGTATATAGCAATAATAATAAATGAAATCGAGCGCGCTCAAATGAAAAAGATATTTTCTTTTTTTAATATAGAAATAAATAATAAATTTTCGCTTTTTTCATCGATTGTCAGTGAAAACAACTATAGTCGACAAGAAGTCTTTCAGTTTACAGATGATGCATCAGGATAACAAAGCTAAAGGTATGCGTGAGTTCCACCCTTCAGCTCCGCAAGAGCTGCGCTAACAAGCTTTCTTTAATCTTTCTCATATAAAAGAAACAACGTCTAAACCTATTTTAGTAATAGAGTCCGTAAGAATGCAATGATAAAAATGACTTCTAGTGCGTGTACGACTCATATTTTCTCATTTTAACAAAAAAAAAGAGTAGAAAAAAATTGATAAATATATTTTAGTATATTTTTTATTTCAAAAGACTTTCTTAATAGTGATATCAATTGAGTATAGTCAATTTAGGATAATAGCCCAACAGTTATAAATATATATATATTTTTCTACGTATGTCGGAAAATACAGAAAAACTCAAAATTGCTTATAATCTATGAAACAAACTTTATATATGTTACAATTGTAGAACCTGTAGTAGTTAGATGAGTTTCTTAAAAGTAGAATAATTTATATCACATATGTTCATATATTAGTAAATGTTTGGTTTTTGAATCGAGTCTATTCCTAGAGAGAACAATTATGTTCTACAGATCTGAATTACTTGAAGTATAATTTAGAGGAATTTTCACACACCGCAAAAATCGAATGGTTAAAATTGTGCGCTTATTACAATTGTATTTTTGTTAAAATTCCGAAGCAGTTTTAGAATTTTTTTAAATTTTTTGTCTGATTGAGTTATGTTCTCTATTCAGATAGAAAGCGGTCAAACATTCGAAAATTTGATACATGCTGTGTAATTCAGAGACTAGATAATGCATTTTCTTGAATTGCTCACTCATTATATGTTGTTATAACATGTAATGCAAAAGTAATTGCACAAATATCGGTCACTATTTCTCTTAAATAAAAGAAGGCTGAAAGAATTTTTTTTCAACCAAAAACAGAGCCTTTACTCCTCTTACGAAACATGTGTAACGTATCTTTTTAACATGCTCATGAATGAAACAATGCAACAGAGAAGAGAAGTATCCTTAACAAGAACCTGCAATTTTTCATAAAAGAACCGCATAAAATATCGCTCCTTCTATCTCTTCAATAAACATGTTCGGAAAATCATATTTTTGTATTAGTTAATAAAAACTTTTCTTCTCATTCAAACGGCATATGATTCATATTTGTCAACCATTCATAAATGGAGTGGAACGAGAGAAAGAAGAAGTACCCACGCAATAAATTTATAAATTTTACATGAATTCGTCAAAAACATCTTGTACATGATTTTAATCATAATAAATTGTCGCTTTACAAGATGGTTTTTAATGATTTCATGAAAGTTAAAGTAAGCATCATTTTACAAGATCTATTTAGTAACTCCACAGAAAACGAATTAATTACTGTCTAAAAAGATGCTTTTGATCATTTCATGGTAAACATTATGAAATTATTGTACGAGTGTTTCTCTTTTTTTCTTTTGCCACTTTATTTATAAATGCATGACAAATATATATAATATACTGTTCGAAAGAGAAGAAAATTTCCTATGAAATGATAAAAAAGTATTCTTTCCAGAACCTATTTAGCGAATAGATATAGGAATCGACATTTTGTGACGTTTTTCGGGGTCTCACAAAAAGTGTGGATCCTTTTCAAGAGTGATTCTCTTTTCTGTTGCTTTGTTTCATCTGTGAACATATTGTAAAAATATGTTACATACGACTTGAAAGGGTAGAAAAGGCTCTATCTTTTGATAAAAAAGCTTTTCTTTCAGCACTCTTTTATTAAAGAGAAATAGAGGTCAATTTTTGTGCAATTACTTTTGCATCACATGTTATATTAAAACTTTTTCTTTCTTCTTTTTTTTTTCGATCAAGTATTGTAATGAATTATGATCTCATTCTTGTTCTCTAACTCTATTTACAACTATCGAATATAGTAGCTTATGGGTTTTTAAGATCTGACTTTCTGACATCTTTTGTCAGTCTTGTGAAACTGCACCAAAATCAAAAACTACTTCATTCAAGATTGTACCTGTCATGGCTGTTGGCCGTAATACAGATTCAGTTGTTAGTATGATCTATATTGTGTTCTGTCTTTATGTCATGCCTTACATTCTTTGATGCTTTTTTCTCTTTGTTTCTCTGTCCATGTGCTCGATCCTTTCTCTTAAAAGAAAACATCATCAGTATGTTATTACATATCAGAGAGAGAGAAAGGATGTTTTTCGTAGAATATGCAGATGAAATTTTTTTTTTATTCAGGTGTGATTTGTATTTTTTATGTTTCTTTTTGATTTCATTTTTCCGGTGAAGCTCGAAATACAGTAAAAGAAATTAAGCAGAGCAATCGATAAGAAAATAACAATATTATTTTAAAACTATCGAAACTTATGAAATATCAGAAAAATTAAAGATGATCTGCAATTCTGAATTTTTCTGTCTTCTCATATGGAGCATATCATCACCTTTCTTTTCTAGTGGTAATACTAATAGCATTTCCGTCCCTCATATTTTCTTCTGAGGATAATATACTAAAATAGCAGAACTAATATCAATGATTCTTTATAGTTTTTGTTGTTAGTATTCGTTTGCAGCTGCTATGCAGCATACTGAATATGTACTGTCCTTGAGTACAATTGTAAACGAACATAATAATGAAATGTAATCATTGTTTTTATTTTATTTCACTAGACAATTAATCTGAAAAATCGAAATCATTAGAAATTAGGAAACAAATAAAATGAATCCAAGAATTTGTTGGTACACCCAGCCGACACATAGCGCTGCAATTTGATCTTTTGTAAAATAAATTTTGTTCGAAATGTTGTCATCAATGTTGATTTTTCACATATTATCAAGTATAATATTTCGTGCAGTTATAATTGAAGCACGTGTAGTATTAATTAGTCAAACTCATCGATCGGATGTAAAACATTTTGAATCCAAACTCGACACGAATACAGGTTATTGGTCACCTAGTACTAGTTCAATTGATTGGTGTGAACGAAATTATGTCGTAACGCAATATATTGCTGAATTTTGGAATTGTATTTCAAGCTTGGTTATGTCTTTATTAGCTGGAATATTATTCATTCGAGGTTTATACAATAAAATTGAAAATCGATTTCTATTGCTTACTTTATCTTTTGGTATTGTCGGATTCGGTTCTGCTTATTTTCATGGTACACTCACACATTTAGGTCAAATGGCGGATGAACTTCCTATGGTCTATTCAATGATTATCTCTTGGTTTATTCTCTTTAGAATGGATAAATTCAATAAATTAAAAGATAAAACTTATGCATTTGACTTAGCAATCGTATTTGGAATATTTTATGCAGTTTTATGGACTTATTTGCACAGTTTACAAACATTTGTCATCCTTTTTCAAGTACATTTTACATTGATGGTGTTAGGAGCAATTATAAAAATGATTTTTTTATATCGACAAACACAACATCATACAAATTCTGTCATGTATTTAATCATGATATATGCTGGTTTAATAGTTCCGGCTTTGACATGTTGGATTATTGATCAACAGTTATGTGAACAAATGAATAGTATAGGTGGATTTAATCCACAATTGCATGCTTGGTGGCATATAATTTGTGCCATTGACTCTCATGTGGGAATTATATGTATCGAAGCGATGCGTCTTTTATCGATAAAATATCAACAGCATCAAGTAAAACATGTTCAATTCTCAAAAGAAATATTTCAACCGAAAGATCATTTGCATATCGTCTTTTATTTTGGATTACCTTTCGTAGATTATTCTAATGCTAAACAGATGAAAGAAGTCAAAAATCAGTGATTTATGAATAGAAATGAATATTTTAAATAGTTCAAAAATGACAATTGTTTGGATTTTTAACGTTAACAACTTAGGCCATTGAATCATTGTCTTTTAGGAAAATAAATTTGAAAATCATTTTCCAATTTAGATATTTGTATGAGTCTCTGAAGTATTTGTTTAGGTCTTCAAAAGTTTTAAGTCAGACTTTATTTCTTTTTTTTCCTCATAAATAACTAATGCATACCGTTGACTCGTGTCTATAGGCTTTGGGCAGTCCAAAAAAGTAGAAGAAACATAGGCAATTGATAAGAAACGAGCAAGAATACAACAAATGACATGAAATAACGAATGAATTGTTTTACTGATGCAGCCAACAACATAGAAATGTTAGTGTTTCTTTCAAACGATGTGATTCTTAAGTGAAAAGTCGACTATGCAGTCCCCATCAGCACCAAAGATATATTTTGAGTTTTCTTTGCAATATCTTGAACGAGAGAACAGATCAGATTGTATGTAAACAATAAAATATTAGACCATTTATTTTTATCTGTATAAAGCATGGATTAAAATGCTGAAATGCTGCCCATCTGAAGTCCTTAATGGGTATATTCAGTACTATAGCATAATGACAGAACATAGATTTCTGTGGAAGCTGCAAACACTGTGCTTTAGGATCTACTTGTGCATTTTGTGGGATTTGTCAATATCATAGACTCCAAGATAAATGATTTTATTTTGCTATGTCTCAATCGATTTTGATGGAGTGACGTTGTTTTTTTTTTATTAAAATTTTTAATTGATTAAATTTTGTTCATCAAGTGAAATTAGCTAGAACCGTAATCAAACTTTTTCTCATGTGAATATCTCAAAATATTCTTCATATCATACGACTTTTCTTGTCCAGGAAGCTCACGAAATTTATGCACATAGTAAATGAAATTTAACTGTGAAAATCAAATCAGGTGTTGCCTTGGATTCTCAAGATCCAATTTGAATAGATTCATGTGAAAAATAGTTTATTTTAATTTAACAGGTTGTTCATAAAAAATGGATTCGTAAGTACTTTGTTAATATCTCTCTTCATCATTTTTTTTTGGAGTCAAAGCCTTTTTATTGAGATGTTAAGAAGAAACAAGCAAAAATATAATACAAATTTGCAGAAGGCTGGAGAGAAACGGCGAGACGCTTGACGAATGTCTTATGTCTCGTGAAAAGAGGTGATACGTTGGAAGTTGTTATAATGGTGTATATGTTGCAAAGTTAAAGTCGACGAATCCGATATAGCAATTTTTGTATGTAATCAGCCGACTCAACAATGATCTATAATGACGATGCAATATATATAATATATAACATGGGTAGGTGATTTGTTTTTAAAGTTTGTTAAATATTTCTTGTAAATTGTTTTGTAATACGACGTCGTTGTTTGATGTTGCTGTTTGAATATAACGTTGCAGAATTGTAACGGCATATTCTTTAATTTTGGGGATGTTGGTGATTCGATGTATATACTCGACGAATGTATATATGGGTAATCCTAAAGCAGCACGAATGGCTTTGTTTTGCATAATTTGTAATCTTTCCCATATTTTATCATTTGCTGTAAGGAGAATTGGATAACCATATATTATGATAGTTCTTGCTATTGATTTGAAGATATTCAACATTATTTTGTCATTGGGTTCGTATGCGGTTCTGTTTAAAAATCTAAGCAGACTGATACGACCAGCGATCTTCGATCCAATATGATGAATATGACTTCTCCAATTTAATCTTTTGTCGATGATAATTCCTAGATATCTTGTTGAATCTGATGGTTTAATGATTGTGTCTTCTATTTTAACGCTGATTGGATTTTTAAATGTTCTTCTTGGATGGACAGCAAAGTGGACTAATTCGGTTTTTGTTGGTTGTAATTTTAATTTCCATGATTTGCACCAGCTTTCGAATGCATCTATGGATTATTGTAATCTGCTATTAAGGCTTGTTGTTGTGTTTGACGATGTCCATAGTGCAGTATCGTCAGCAAATAAACCATGTTCTGTGTGATCTGGTATTCCATTCATTGAATCTGCCGTGTATACAATATAAAGTAACGATGATAATGGAGATCCTTGTGGAGTACCGCTATTTAACTTGAATGGTTTAGATAAGTTGTGTTCAATTTCGATTGAAGCAACTCGATTTTGTAGAAATGACATGAGGTAATTCATTACATATTGTGGAAGACTTAAGTCATTTAGTTCGTAGATCAACCTATCATGCCATACTGAATCAAAAGCAGCTTTGATATCAAATAATATGACAGCTTCATGATGTCGACGGCCAGTTCCGTATACGTGATGTTTTGCATATTTAGTTAGCCTTATAATGTTATTTAAGGTGCTTTTTTTTAGGTCGGAAACCTGCTTGAGTTCTGGCAAGATGTTTCGTTTATCCAGTATAACCATCAGCCGTTGCTTCATTATTTTGTCCAGTAATTTGCCGCGGCAACTACGGAGACTTATTGGACGATAACTTGAAGGATGTTGCTTATCTTTATTAGGCTTTAACAACAGTATAATATTAGCCTTTTTCCATTCATTTGGGATATATCCAATATTTAAAATAGAGTTAAATAATTTAGTTAAATGTTGAATAAATAATTCCGTGTAGTTCTTTAAACATCTGTTATGAATGTTATCAGGATCACAGGAGCTATTGCGAAGTTGTTTAATATTCCATTTAACTTCTTTAATTGTGATCTTCTTCCACTTGTTTAGTTTCGTGTTAGAAGATCTGTTTTTGATGTTGTACATTTGCCTTGTAACTTGCTGATGAAATGGTATTGTTTCAGGTGATTTTACATACACATCATTTTGGAAATAATCAGCAAATAGGTCGGCTTTTTCCTTGTCTGCTGTTGCTATAACGTCGTTGTATTTGATGTTATTAACGTGGGTTTGTTTGATTCGCTTATTGTGGAACTTGCGAAGTGTCAGCCATACTGAGTCTGAATACATTTTCTTTTGACATAATGATGACATAAGTTTGTTAAAGTTGTTTTTTCTGTCATTTCTAAGTGAATTCGTTAATAGCACCTTGTATTTATAATATTGTTGTTTTTCACTATCTTCTCCAGTCTTCTTTCATTTACGATAAGTGTCATGTTTGAGCTGGATCAGATGCTTGGTTGCTTCACTTAGTTTAATGTTTGTATTCAGATGTTTCGATGTTGGTATGGCTTCTTGTGTTGCTGCAGTAATGCTGTTGGTAATAAACGACGTATATTCTTCTACATCTGATTCTGAATTTATACTACGATTTTTGTTCCATAGCATTAGTTGTTCATTTAATTTATTTCTAAATTTTGGCCAATTTGCTGCTTTGAAGTTGAGGGATAATCTTGGTGATGCTGGTTTTGGTTCAGTTCCAATTGGGATATCGAAGGTTAATGGTTTATGGCCACTTAATGTACCAATTGTTGGATGTGTTTCGACGTTTGATATTAATGAATGAAGTGGTTGACTGGCTAATATCCAGTCAATCTTTTCTTCGTAATCATTCTTTTCAAATGTCGTGTTATCATCGTCTATACAGTTAATATAACCTTCGTTGATCACCTCTTGTACCTGTCTTCCTCTAGCATTTGTTTTTCTTGATCCCATATTGTATAATGTTGCATTAAGATCACATACTATGATACAGTTGTTGTTTAAATTGTATAGTTCGTTAAAGATGTTGCAATGGATTTTCGCTGTTGGTGGCACATATATTGAAGAAATTAGTATGTTTTTTAATGATTGTGTAGCAATTTCTATAGCTATAATTTCATTTTTTCCAACAGTTTTGTTAAGTATTTCACTACATTTAATATGTTGTTTGACTGCTAATAATATTCCTCCACCAGGCTTTCCTACTCGGTCGTTTCTGAAAATATTGTAACCTTTCATAGAGAACGGTTGATCTCTTTTCAGGTTAGTTTCATTTACAGATATGACGTCGTATTTGGAGAATCTGGCAAGGAGTTCGTCTTTATGTTCTCGAATAGTGGTGATGTTAATATGACAAACACTAATCTTCATTAATATTTGTTTTTAATTCTTTGTTATCAGTTGTAGTGGAAGCTAACGAGCTGTTGAGTGAACGATTTCGTTTAACTGCTTTGGATGTTGTTTTTGGTTTACGTTGGGCTTTTGATGAATTATCAGTTGTAAAGCTGGTGAATGTGTTGTTGCTGTAATGATTGTGGATGGTGCGTTGATCTTGTCCTTTGTCTTTTTGCCTACATCTGCTGATTGTTTACGTTGTTGTTTAGCTTTTTTCCGTTTAATACTTGGATATCATCGTCGCTATCAGAATCAGAAATTGGATCAGTATCCATATGATCATCACTGATTATATTTTCTACTGCTGCAATGGTCTTTTCTATTTTCTTGATTCTTTGCTGGAGTGATTTCATTAAACGGCTTGTCGTTTCTTCGATAATGTTTTCTATTTTACTAGTAAGGATGTTGACTAGTTTGTCCAAGATATCATTGTGTAGGTGTTCTTGTTGTTGATGTGTGATGCTTGGTAATGATGGAAATTCTTGAAGATCATTTAATGCTGGCATTGACGCCGCCTTGTAAGACGTGGTATATTGATTGACCAAATTTAGCAGTCTTTTTTCTTGTTCTATATAATTGGAACAAACATTAGACGTGGCTAAATGATTACCTTGACAATTGCAGCATTTCAACAAATCAGGAGCAGCAGTACATTGGTCCATATGATGATTACCACCACATCGAGCACATATCTGTTGCTTTGATTTGCAGTACTTTGCCACATGATTGCATTTAAGGCATAAATAACATTGTGCTGGCTTGGTATTTTGATTTGCTGCTTCAGCTATGAAATGCATTGAATCCACTTGTAGGCCAGTATGGACGAATGTATTTCGATTTTGTGGATCAACGAATGTAATTTTGACTGTTTTTGTGGGCATATTTTTTGTTTTATTTATTAGTCGAACAACATCAATAGCATCAAGTCCAACGTCCTTTAATGCTTCAGTGGACTTTTATTAGACTTTACAATTTGCTTAGTGCTTCTCGATACCAGCGTCGCGGATGTGTTTTCTTTGGTGATCTCGCAGTAAATTGAATAGTGTCTTTTCTCGAAATGTGTGGATGTTGTCCCTTAGTGTGGCTCATTTAGATTTTAGTTGGGTATTACTGTGCGGGTATCGATTCGATTGGACGAATCTATGACAAATACTATCACCCGGACACGCATAGCATTGAGCACAACGATACTGATGCGGATATAAATATCCACACAGACTGTGCTGTTCAAACTTTGGATATCAGTTTTGTTAAATGCTGTAAAACAGTATATACGTAATGCCGACACAGCCAAATATTCAGTCGAGGGTCAAGCGTGTCACAGAGACGAATGTTACTTGTTTTAAGTAATCGACGATGGCTTACGAGGGATCCTTTCGAGGTGATGAAAAACTTTTGGACTCAAACTCCTTTTATCTTGTAGACCCTAAGGAGTAGCGAAATATCGTAAGTTGATTCGTGCCCTTATTGCTTTTGGATAGAGTTCTGATCACTTTACTGTTTTTTCAATCGATCGCACCGTATGAGCAGCAACAGTAAATAAATGAATTTTGATCTGAATTTTTGTTCATAAAGGAGTTTTACGAACATTGTGATATCCTGATATTTTCAGAAAAAACGAATGGATCTTTCTTGGTATAATAAATTTTCCAAAAACGACTGTCTTCGAAGATAATTTTTAATTTCGTCCAAGAAATACTCGTTTTTTGAAAATTTATTATCTCAAAAAGAGTGCATTCGTTTTTTCTGAAAATTTCAGGATATTCTAATGTTCGTAAAACCTCTCTGAGTTCAGAAGCTTTTAATCACTTCGAGAGATACCCTCGTTAGTCAGTTATGTTGAAGTATTCTTCAAACATATCAAATCTATTTGTGGACAATCCATATTCCATCATCATGACCAAGACAAGAACAAACAACTTGCTGAGTTTTGATGACAAAGCAAATATATTTTCTTGATTAGATTTTTAAAAAAATCGTTAAACGAGACGAACAAAAAAATTCTATCAAAGAGTACATTTGTTTAGTCGACTATTCGATTGACCTGGTTTACAACTGAATACACGATCGAATTCGACAAAGTTTGATGTTGAACCAATAACTCTAAAACAATCCATTGGTTTTTCATCTATATTTCAAAGTGCGAATGAAATTAAACAAAAACGAACCTAAATTGAGGCGGAGAATGAACATCTGCCAAAATAAAATTGTTCATAAATGAATCTCGTAGTTTTGCGCACCAAATTTGACCATAGTTGATAAAGAAGAGTTGCTCTGTGGAATATTTGCTCAGACCTGGTAGTTTCTTGTCAACGTTTCGATTCGCTTGAGCCCATTTTTTATAAGCCTACAAAACATCATTATTTCATTGTCAATTAAACAATAAAAAACCATTACGAAAAAAGCTTCTTTTAGTCCACCATTGTCAGCGAGATTTTCGCTCACTGTTAAAACACCATCGACCTTGATAAAAAAAAATCAATCATTTGAATAAATTCAAATACAACGAAAAAGAAAAACCTGACGATTGACACTCGGCACTGTATAATTACTGTATTGTTGAATAAAACATTCGGTCTGTTTATTATAAGCATCGATTGTTTCATTTGCCCACCAAGGTACTATATTTCCATTTTGATCATATTGTCGACCCATTATATCGAATCCATGTGTTATTTCATGTCCCATGGTGCTTCCGATACCTGTATGAGAAATTTGTGTGTTTTTTTTTCATATCGAAGTGAATCAATACTTACCGCCATAATTGAGATATCTTCAATGCAGAACAAAGTGATTTATTTATAGAAAAGAAGAAAAATGAGAAACTCACTTAGGTACGTCTTTTTCGAAGTTGGGCGCTTGAAGATACGCAGCCGGAAATACTTAATAAAGCCGAAAGAAAAAAATCTATTCGGGCCAGAAAAAATAATCTTACATATGGAATTTAAAGATGGATTATAAGCTGCCTCGATTTTAGTCGGCGGAAAAGTCCATGTTTGACGATCGACAGATTGACGAAGAAGACGATAATTGTCTTTAGCTGCTAAGTGAGCAATCTTTAAACCATTTAGAATATAAGATGAATTGAATTTGTACTAGAATTTCGAACAAAAAAAAACAAATAATGTTAAAAATTGTTCTATTACAATACATCAGCATAGTCTTTTTCGAGTTTTGTAACATTATCACTGGCCACATAGTCCGGATAACTAACATTTTCGACAATTGCTCGAGCCTAAATTTCAAAACTTATCTTCTCAACGATGATAATCAATATTACCTTTGCCATGGCTTTTGTTTTCGAAACTGAATCCATCCAATTCGATTGATTGATCATTTCGATAAATGTATTTCGAATATTTTCAATCATAATTAATGACTATTAAGCAATGAATAGAACAGATAGATCTAGTTGATTCATTTTTATTTACCTCATTACGGGCATTTTCATCAAAATATTTGCGAATATAGAGTCTCGATAGAGCAAAACCCATGAGAGAGTTAACATTTGAACTACAAGTCAGAGTTCGTTTCTCTTCGCTAGCAGATCCATCGAGTGTTTGAGTAAATTGTTGCTTTGTTGTTCGAAAACGTTTCGGCATATAGTCAATTAATGTCATCATAAAACGCCAAATAAAATAATTTTGTAAAGTTCGCGATGAATATTGACTAATTACATTCGAAACATTTTTTAAATATTCAAGTTCACCAACAATGACACGTTCTGTATCGTTCAAAGTGACATTGACCGATTGATAGACACGACGAAGATAATTGCTAAAATCAATCTAAACAGAAATTTGTAGATGCATAAAATTCAATAGCAACTAACACTGCTGTTAATAGTGTTTGAGAGATTGCTGACTGTTGTTCGAACATTATCTTTTTGACGAGCAATTTGTTCGGCTATTGTCCAAGAGAACTACATACAAAAAGCAATGAAAGGAGTCAAAAAGAGCGTTGATTTGCGATGCAAAAGAACCTCGGCAATTTTCTTTTCCAATTCGAATATCGAAGTAACATCATCATCAATCATCGATGTTACGTTGGTCATTGTCATAGCTAAATCTTTCATCCATTGTTGATAACTTTTTGTCAAAGCATTTTCATTTGCATAGGATTCAGGTTGAGCAAGACCAAGACTACCTTGACCGACCTATCTTATGAACAACGATAAATGAGAACAGTTTACATCTCTTAACTTACTCCAATAACATATATTGATGAATTTTGTTCATCGTTTATCGTAATGATCGTATAGATAGCATTGAGATTGTATTTGGCCATTTTAAGTAACATATTCGAGAGACTGAATGTTGAATTGTTCCAGGTTGCTCCTTCTAAGATAGGCCATCCGCCCAATTCATTATTGATTAATGAGAGCAAAACCTTGACACTATCTGTCTCTTCGTTCATACACGAATTATATAAACGACGAGCATTGACTATTGCCTGAAGCTCATCCGTTTGATTTGTCGATGGTGATGAGAGAAAATCTGACAAAAATAAAAAAACATGCAATGAATAAACAAACAAATTCATCATTTCTCTTACCAATAAGATGATTGTTTAATTTATCGTTGGCGTCTGATAAACTACTTTTTAGTACCTCTACAAATAATTCAAATTACTAAGCATATCCTCAGTTTTATTTTAGATTTATGATAACCGTAATTCAAATATGAGAGACTATTATATCTTTCTCAACATAATTCCAGCATTCAAAATCAACGTTGATTCAAACAATTTTTTAAATTCAATCGAACTAAAGTTTAGAAAAGCATGAGAATAATCGATTGAAATTTTGTGTGTATATCAGCACTGATAGTGAACGAAATTTGAAAATGGTTTTGTATTATTAGAAATTTGAAATATCTCCTTCTATGGACATTAAAAAAGCCAAGTCTCAATATTCCCATTGAAAGAAAAATTTCATGGATTGATTTTGTTCAAGATTTCACCAGTGATTTATCAAGTTCCTTTTAGAATATCTAGATGAAAACTTAAAATTGTTTTCTTGTTATTATTTGTTGAGCAAAGTAATGAAGAGATCGATAGAACTAACCATCATCTGGTATTTGAGCATTATTAATCCATTTGCCACAAGCAAATTGGTAAAAATTCTCGCACGGATCAACTGTCTCATCAATACTTTGAAGCAAAGAATTGGCTGAGAAAAAACAAAACTTGAATTGACTGAATTGAAAAAGATCTCACCTGTTTTGATACATGATGGAGTTAAACAAAAGTCATTATTTTGAACTACAAAAATTTTCATCCTACGATTAAATCAAATTATTATCTCTTGATGAACGTTTACCGGATGTTTGATGATCATTTTTTTTATTTCGTTCGATACCATACAGGATGGCCAAGATGATGGTTATGATGACAAAAACACCGACAAGAATGGCCAATGCCAATGTCAATATCTTCCATTGAGATGAATTCCTATCAAACACATGTGTTTTAATCGATCAATCATTTTCATGTTTGATAAATTATATCAAAATTAGAGCAAGTCTAAATTGATTTGCTCGCTTACTATTCAACTTACCAGCCTTTGAATCGGTTATTCATCGATTTCGTTTTTGCTTGTTGTTATTTTTGAGTTGTGTTGATGTACAGGTGTGTCGTTTCTATTTATTTCCCTGTAACATATTCTTTTTCGTCGTTCTTTCACACCCTGAGACCTACTACACCTAATTTATCAATCAACGAAGACACGATACGTATTTTCTCTCTTCGTTGTAACTTTTGCTTCGTGTTTATGCACGCTGAATGCTCCAAATCGATGTAAATAATCAATGTTTTTCATAAAAACGAAAGAGCGAAAAGAGAATAAAGGAAAATAAATAAACGATTAATAATAAGACATGACAAACACCAAGACCATTTGTGTACGTCATTCTCGTTCCTCATAACCCATGCAGAGAAATGTGGGTCTGATGTAGAGTTATTATTGTCAACTGATGTTCTTCATAGTTTTATTTCTAGTGCGATTTGTTTCAAGGTGTTGCTGTGAGAGTGTGAAGTATGGGACTATGAATGGATCTGAGTGGGAGTCCTCTTCCCCGCGTCGAAGCCACATCCACACCTAGAGTAATCAGAGGTTATGGAAATAGAAATGATTTTTTTCGTAAAGAAAATCTAAAACAGTTTCTTCAGATGGTGCTGCAATAACGCATTAAAGTGACCTCGAGACATGTTTGAATAAATAAACACATTTTCGAGGATATAGGTGGATGAATTGAGAACCCATGGCCTGCTCCACATTGAAATGGGCGTTGATCTCTACTACTGATATTCTTAATCGACTTTTGAGTACATTTTTCACAGAATATGAAGGTTGATAAGACGAACATGTACATGATTTCCATAGAAGATAGTGACAAATGGGAGAAAAATATTCACCAGATGCAAGATGATCATCAATTCACTTGATTATAAAATAGTATCTACTGAAAACAAGATGCTTTCACTTCTATTTTAAAGAATAGAGAACAACACAACACCTTCGTCCTACCTAATGCATAACTTTGCGAAAACTTACTTGCGAGATTTACTGAATATAACTGGTTTGTTGAATATATCTACCTGCCAAATGAAACAACATGCATAGTAAATGTATGTTACCGAATCGTCTTATTTATTGACATGGTAGATAAAAGATTCTCATTTTCCGTAAGAAGAAAAAAAATCTACAAACCATTCTTATATATACACATAATGCCGACTGTTTGTCTGTGACATGCAATGATAATGGTCCGGATTGAAGCAATCTTTCAATGGTAATATTAGCTGACGTTTTTCGTCAATCATACTGTGTATATGTTTCGTTTCTTAACATTGACGAGAAGCATGAAGTTACCGGTTTAGATGTTTTTTTTACTATGACACATTTAGACAAGCGCATTGAATTTCGAAAAATGATTTTTCAATGAAATCTTAAATTTATTCCTTTTCTTCGCAATATCAAATGAAAAAAGCTTATAGTATTAAATTCGCTTTTAGCTTAACTTGTATTCAATCACTTTTATTATTTAAAAGACAAGATTATACACAATACAGTTCTTTATCAAATATTCCTTAAATACGAATTCAAGTATTTTTTTTTGTATCAGCAAGACAAAATCATGAAGAAGAAAACAATATTAGATTCATGATTAATTTTGATTTTCGCTTAATTTTATTTGTTTATATCCAGATCGTAGTTTACGCCATAGAATATTTTGTTTCGTTCCAAGCCAAATAACCACCAACCTCCGCCATATTTTATATGTAGAATCACTTGTATACTCATTGAGCCAAGCTATAAATCGGTTACGTAATGATATACAGTCAAATTCACATTTGACCCATAATAAGTTCGAACATTGTTGAATGATCATTTGCATCAGATTTAAATTATTGTCTGACATTTCTAAAGTTTTAATGCCTGGTGGGATTATTGATAATACGTATTTTGTATCGAGAGTAGTTTTAAAATTATACAGCGGAGTCAAAATAATTAAAGAGGTCAGATTATAAGTCAGTGAAATAATAGTGACAGATTCATCCATAGAGTTTGATCATGAGACTTAAACGAACTGCATTTCAATTTGATTTTAGTAATTTTTGAAAAATCGATCAAATTTGAAATATTGTATGGTTCAATTACAACATGGCATTTTGGAAGACGAATACTCAATGCACTCACTTTATGAAATAGTGGTTGGCTATGTGTTTTAAACTGAAAATAAACATTGACATAAGCAACAAAAATCTTTTTTTTTCTTCTACTAATGCATCGATGGTTCATTGATATTTCAAAATTCCGAGATCCTCTACGTGAATTTTTTAAAAACGACAAGATTTTTCACCCGATAGAAATTCAGACATGCCTTTTTATATGAATTGATTCTCGTTAGAATAATTGCGTTCATTGATGAATAATAATACAATTTGAATATGAAAACATTTCATCTCAGAAAAGATAATCTCGTTCGTTCATATTGCAAATAATCAATTTCTATCTTCCTTTTTTAGTAGAAAGTTCCTCTATAGATTATCAACATGTATCGCACAAATATGAAGTTTGATTGAAATATTTCAGAGTGTCTCAAGAGTTTCTAAAACTTTCTAGGTTCAAATTGAACGAATTATTTATAATAGATTAAATGACTTGTCTCACTGATGTAAAGCAATATTCAGTCGCAATTGTTAACTTTGTTTCCAAGTATACAATTTTTATTTAGTCATTATTTACATTAAAGACTTCAGTGTGTATGTATAATATTGTTTCGTTTAAGTACTGAAATATGAGATGATTTTGATCTCCACAATTCAATAAGAAAATTTGTCAAAATAGGTTTAAAATTTTCGTTTCTATCTGATAATTGAATGATTCTGGTTCCATGTGGAAATTTAATTCTAGTTCGAAGACATTCATTTTATTGAGAAAAACAGACATTGATGATACAAATAAATAAAAAAGAATCTTCATATCGCAAGGGGAAGAAGTAGCCTACTGTTCATTTGCTATTCCTTTATCAGTTCATTCGATAACATCATATTACTACGTAACAGATAAAACGAAAAGAGTTTCAGCTCGCTAGATCATTTCGAAAAGAAATCAATTCTTCTAAGAATGCCCAAGATTGTAGTTATATCGATAATAAATACTGGTACTCTAATAGACAAAAGCACTTATCAAAGAAAACTATTTGATAAAAAAAGTACTAGAAAATAAAATCTTTTAGTCGACAGTTGTGGATATCTTTTCAGATAGTTCATTGATGTTTTCTCGAAAAAAATTCTCTCATCTTTAAACATTTGAAAATCTCCTTAGCATTGCTAATTACATATACGTACATCTTGTTTCAAATAGTTGGCCAAATCTTCATTTAATGTCAAACATAATGTATTGACATTGTCCATAAGTGAAAAATTGTTTCTATTTTTTTCGATTGAATTGAATAAAAGAATCTTGTTTGAATTTATTTCGTATTCAAAATTTGATTCACAGCTGGGTATCGAATACAAACGAATTCTTTTTGAATCATCAATCATTTATTCAATGTAAGCAAACCATTGTTTGTTTTCTAACCAGAATAATGAACGATAATGCATTATTAAATGTTCCATATTATCCGAAGTTAGCTGATTGAAAAATCGACAGACAAAGAAAAATTCGAATTTATTCAATTGCGGTAAATGTTTCTGAATGATTTGTTCCCAACGATATCCATGTAGGAAATTAGATCACTATTTTCATTGATTACTTTTAAATGAATGAGCGAGGGCATAAGCTTAAGAAATGATTCCAATATATTAATATCAGTATCACATCGTTCAAGTATCAGTGATCTTAATTGTTGAAATAATGGTGACAGAGTCGGCGTCAGAATACGTCCATTGATCATTGTGTTTAAACCACTAGTCAAAATAAATATTTTTAATTGTGGACAACATTTTAATATTTGACATAGATAATAAAAATTTATCCATTCATTTATTGTTAATTGTTTAATTGAACAATTGGTTGGCCAGATAAGATTTTTCAATCCTTGATATCGAATATAAAAATCAAGCTTACGTAGATTAATTTGTGAAAAAATTCTTCTTAAAATTTTATTGCTTGTTTTCAATCGCCTATGATCATATTTTACAATTTTAATGACAAAACTCCGAAGTAAATCGATTTTTAGAGCATCAAGAATAAAATGTAAATATGTTTCATCCATACCAAAAAATGATAATGAACGAAGTTGTGTTAATTGTTGAATATTTGCCGTTCATATTTACTAGAGAATGTAAGTGAAATGACATTTTCCGGTTGTATTAAATTGCAAATACGAGTAAAATTGTGTTTTGATATTGAATTAAAAGTTAAATCATATCGATTGTATGTATTCGTCAATGCGTTCAAGTATCGACATAGGTATCGAATTGACAATAAAATTGTTTGTACATCGAGATAATTGAAAATACGATGAAATATTTCAGTAGGTAAAGTTTCAATTAGTCCATTATTTTTATCCATTTGTTGATATGAATTTCTAATATCAGTTGTATGATGTCGAAGTTTTGTTTTCAATTTCGAACAGTTGCAAATCAAAAACCATTCGAAACCGGGGCTAATACCTAACAACAGTTAACTTCGTGCAAAAGATTGCTTTCAAATATCATTTCTTCGCATAGTATTAGGATTCTAGCTAAATGAGAGTAATATTTTCGTTTGATAAATCAATTCTGAAGGAATCATATGCTAATATTCAGGTTTTCTACTTTGTTACAGAAACCCTTATCTTCAAGCAACAGATCATTGTCAACTTCGGCCATTCCTATAGAGATTATAGAAAGTTGTTAGCAGAAAACTAGAATTTGTCAAATACAATTAAATTCTACTTTCTTATAGTGTATTAAAAATTTTAAAAAAAGCTCATGCGTCGTTTCTCGAAGTACGGCTATATATCTCACACCCTATAATATATGATGGCTCATAAATAGTATTACGATACAAAGATGAAATATCTTTGCAACGGCTGAACCAAATGAGCTTTTTTTTTTGGTAAATAGTAGAAGTCTATTCTGAGTTCTTTTTTTATACGGATAAGGTAAATACTATTGTTAAGTAATATTATTAGTATTATGAAAGCAATTTTATCTGTTTGCCAAGTAAAACGAACACATGTGTAACGTTTAATAGATATTTTTCAGTTGTGATCTAAGAGAATAACAAGAATAAGTGAAAGAAAACTATATCAATGAGTCTGTATTGATGCAAACAGAGCAAGCTTTCAAAACTAGAAAACGGATGTTTTTGGTGTCTAATGAGCTGCAATAGTGTATTTTACTGATAGGTCACGAATTTCAGCATTTCGACTGACTAGTTTTGAAAATTTTCTCTATATGCATCAATACAAAATCATTCCTAAAGTTCTTTTTCACTGTTTCTTTTTATTCTTAGATGATAACTGAAAACTATCTACAAGACGTTACACATGTATTCTTTTTACTTGATAAATAGGTAAAATTGCTTCCATTATACCAACAATAATACTTAACAATAGTATAAACTTACCTTATCGGTATGAAAAAAGCTTTGCGTAAACTTCTACTATTAACCAAAAATCCGACTCATTCGATTGAACTGATGCGAACATATTTCATTTTTTTTATTGGAATACTATTTATGGGCCACCCTATATATTAGGTGTCGTTGTTGTGGAATACTTTGAAATTCACCAATGTAAACGCATACATCTGGAATTACTCAAGAATTGGCAACTTTTTGCAACAATTGAGCAATAACATAGTTTTCAAATAGTAAACTTGTTGTCGGGTAATTTTCTTTTTCATTTCTACATGACAATGTAGTTTTCATTAAGGCATTATTTCTTATGGCAACTTTGTATGGACTCTATTATTGCTCGACGTGAAGAACGCAAAATATTTCTTTCTTTTTCCCTGACATATACGATTAGTCACTTAAGCAAACGAATGCATAATAAAGAGTGAGATCACTCGTGTTTTTCTCGGTCAACTTTTGGGATTAAATCTTATGTGTTGTCTCAAAAGATTCTTCTTTGATTCTCCAGAAAATCGTATAAAAAAGATTGTTCTACACTTCTTGTTAAAAGAAAATTGATCGATTGATATTTCTGTTCGAAAATATCTACCACTTTTCAAGATAAAATACAATTGTTTTGGTTTGATTTATTAGAACTTTGCTACTCCACACAGACATGTTAGTCATTTTGTACACCGAAAAAATCTATTTTTCAACTATATTCGAGCAATATTCTGAGCAACCTACGTTGCTTATTAGTTGATCTGACAAAGGTAGTGAGGAAATTCCCAATCGAAAGAATCAACTCATGTTTTATTAGTAAAGAACGATTATGCTGTTCTAACACAAAATATGTCCTTAAATATTAATTTCAGTTAGTCAGTTAACATATGTTTGGTATCTGAATATTTTTGAGTCTTTGAACTGTCAATCGACATTCGAATGCGTTGATATTCTTCTCCATCTCAATATGTAAAATAATTTATTCTGAGACAATACGAATTATCTTCCAACCAATGAAGATTTAACTTTTCAATGAACAATTCCCAATAGTCACATTCGCAAAAATCATCACATATAAATAGAAAATTATCAAATTGATCTATAATATCAACCATCATATCTTTTGGGTCAATTTGAATTTCAAGAGTTCTAATATTTCGTATTGTATGCTGACATGTAAATGCTCCTCCTTTTCCTCGCTTTTCTTACAAATCTTAGCAGTGGCAGCATTAATCATAACTAAAACTCGAGACCTGCCTGGTACAGTCGTCTTTCTTCATAATAGTTACCCTTAGTATCATGGAGAACGTGCTCATATCGATGATAGACGTCTGCACAAAAGTCTGTTTTTCTAGCGATACTCAAGCAAAACCCTGGTCTTACACATGAATTGTGTATCTTTTACGGTAGTTTAGCGTTCTTATGCTTGAGTTGATGTCAGTGATCTCCGACGAAAGCTAAATGTGACGCTTTTAGAGGTGTGTATTTAGTCATGTTGTAAAAAGTACGTTCAACAATGTGAGATAGGTTAATAAACACTGTTTGGTAGATATCAGTCTGAAGTAACACTTCGTTCGCACGAGCAACAGATGGTAAACAGTGATCGAACCTGCTGCTGCTCCACTTTAACCTTGAACAACAATGTGCTTTTTCTGGAAAAAGGCATGTGTCTTTTCCAAAGTGCAGAACACAGAGATCTATTGGTAAGATTGAAATTCTAGTTGATTCTGCTACTTTGTACCAAAATCTTGCAAATATTCAGTGAGCTCCTTGATATATTGCGTCGAACAGGGCGCACTTTACCTTCGAAGCGAACAATCTATCATGTTTTCATTGTATGTCTGCTTCGATCAACATTTGCATAGCAAAATCTAGTTTACTTTATTCTTTTTCACTGGTCGACGCTTCTGACAGATTTACCATTTAAACACCCAAAATAATCAACTAAATTAGATTTTCTTATGCAAATGTCTTTAGAAATGGACACATGCTCAGAAAAGATATAGGCTGCTCGCTTCGAACATAAAGTTTGTCGCTTTCGACATTAGTCTCTGACTGAGACAAACTGAGGCCTTAATACGTATTTCTTTCATTTTATCTATGTAATTAGTGTGCAATAATTTACTAAAAAATGTTGTGAGCGACTTTTCCTGCCATATCCAGACATACTAATGCGCATGATATACTGCAGTGCCTTTCTTATGGCAAAAAATGAGATTCTTCTTTTTTCCTCCATTTTTATGCCACATCCTCCAAAATTTTTCAATAAAAATCCTTTCTATTCCTCCTTTTTTGGACATTAACGTTCACATACCAGATTGTATGCCAAAAACTATTAATAGATTTTGATTTACAATCTCCATCTAATATAAGAGTGAGAATCTGTGATGATATAACAAATAATGGATTATATTTCATAATAAGATAAGTTAATAGAGAACAATGTTTTATTAATTTATTTATTAAGTTAATGTCTTGATAATGATTCAATACGGGGCACACCAAGTTTTTCTTTTTGATTAAAATCCATTATTGTTTTAAGAACGTCTAATGACATAGGTACTGACCCACAAAGTATTAATGATTTTACGTGTGTAAAACGATGTATTGCTGGTATTATAAACTTATCAATGCTGATTAATAAAGAATCGATTTTATTTTGATAAAAAAATATTTTTTTAATATTTGATGGTAAGTGTTGTTACAGGTGGATAATTCGATCAAGAATAAATAATAGTTTTTAATCGAAATCGAAGTATTATAAATAAGAATGTTTGTTCATTCTCTTCATCATTACGATATCCAACATAGCAATGTTTTTGTTCAATCCAAAACGATCATCTTTATCAGGATTTAAAATTGAATTTAATAATATTTGTTTTTGAAAGAAAATATTTTCATTGATTACCATCAATTAAGTCATTTCTATCACTTGCTTGAAGAGTTAGATGTGTTAGTTGATGTATATTAATAAGATATTGTTCAAGATATTGAAATGATACAACAATATCTCAGATGGAATAAAATATATAAATAAATCTTGAGTATTTTTTTACCTTCAATAAAATGAAGCGTAAGATGAATAAGATAATGAGAAAATTGTTCAAGATTTATTCTCATATTTTTATTTTCTTTATCAATAAAAGGATGAAGATGTATAATTGAACTTCCGAGAGAGAGAAAAATTGAAATAGCATCAACATTTTTATACTTATTACTAAATCTAATATAACAATCATCATTAGGAACAAAACCGCCATCAATTGTCAAACGAGTAAGCATTGAAAATTGACTGTTGATTTAAGTAAATGTACCAATTCTATCAATTTGTAAATGAGTCAAAACTTTTGCTTTTGGTGCAAGTAATTGATCAAAATTAAAATCAAAATTTTTATAAGTATCAAATTTTCGAATTTCAAGACATTTAACAGTTTCTGGTGAATCAATTTCATCATCAAATATTCCAATGAATGCTACCGATTGAAGATGAATTAATTGGTGTTTGAAAAATGAAAAATATCCCTTAAATATTTTAATTTGACGAGGTAAGTTTCATCAGAAAATATAATTGAAATGACTTGTTTTTGCTTGTAATTGATAACAAATATAATCGAATTCTAATCGAGATATTAATCGAAAATTTTAGTTGAAATGGATATGAATAAACAA